TTTAGGGTTTTGGGTTTAGGGCTGAACAAGTTCCTTTGAAGCGTGGTGGAGCTTGAAAAATGGATACATACATGGCATTAGTAACTTGGACAGTGCTTCGGGATAAGCTCTAGTACAGCAATACTAAGGAACCCTACGGAATACTATTGGTAGTTTGCTATTGTTTCGGCTGCTCTATTCCCAGAGACTCCAATACCCCTNNGGAATATACCTTAAATCTCATTAGGGGATCCTACTATAATTTAAGGTATATTCCTTAATTAAGGGGTAGTGGAGGCTCTGGGTTACCTGAGGCGTCTGCTGATGGCCGCCATGGCCACTCGCCGCATAGTGCGCGGAGCTTCACCTGCGATATGTCGAACCCGGCTTAGACTAGGACATAGGCTCCATAGTAGTTCCTTTTGGGGGTTCATATTTAGAACCTAAGCCCTAAACCCTAAACCCTAAACCGTTAGGTAATCCCAAAAAGGAACTACTATGGGGCCTATGGGTAGACATTGAGGCTCCGGGTTTAGGAACTCCAGATTTGAGGGCTCAGGTTCAGGGTTTAGGGTTTAGGGTTTAGGGTTTAGGGTTTAGGGTTTGGGGTTAAGGGTTTAGGGTTTAGGGTTTAGGGTTTAGGGTTCACGGTTACCAGACCTTGACGGATGAAGGGTGCGCTCTGGCTTGTAGTTTAGGCTTTTTCAGGGAATCCCTGGCAAACTGCCGTACTGTTGCCACTTTCTTGAGCTGTGCTCCGTCAGCTGCTGACCCCAGAAGGGACATCGCCTTTGGGCTAAGGTCCCGGCAACGTGTTTTTTAAACCCCAAACCCTGAACCCTCAACCCTAAACCCTAAACCCCAAACCCTCAACCCTAAACCTACAACTCTTCGGGTAGGACTTGGGGTTCGGAACCGGGGGCTGGGAGCCCCACTCCCAGGCCCGCCGGAGTAAGCATAGCATTTAGGCGTCGGGGTGGCCGTTTAGGGTTTAGGGTTTAGGGTTTAGGGTTTAGGGTTTAGGGTTTAGGATTTAGGGCTGTTGTGACAGGTTTGTGTTGAAGGCTCTTTTGACGTCTGCGGCGACGGACACAGTTTGGGGTTTAGGGTTGTTGTGAGAACAGTGAAGAACAAACACGATGACAAAGTCAAGCTAAATTCGACGCAACAACAAACCAATAGCGACTTGCAACAGCATCAACAGTTCGAATAGCAGGTGCCTTAACGACTAGCGTTGGCCTTCCAGTATGTCATGGCAGACTTATACAGGGACTAGATGGATGCAGCACGACCAATAGAAGTAGATTCGAGCGAGTAACGAAAGCCACCTGATTCGTCGTTGGAAGAGTCATCGGACCTTGGCACAGACCAAACGAATCCTAACCTTGAGCCCTGGACGGTAAACCCTGAACCCTAGACCCTAAACCCTAAGCCCTAAACTGTGAACCCTGAACCCTAAAACAGGTTTAAACCCTGGACCTTGAACCCTAAACCTAAACCCGAAACCCCCAAGCGAATCCCAACCTTATAAAGGAATATCCCTTCAACGAAAGTTGGATCTCTTCCAATAATGTTAGGTATGTTCTAGGATATATACATAAATATATATATATATATGGGTAGTTCTCCAAATTAGGGTCCCTTTCTAGCTCCCCAATATACGGCACCCTTATAAAAAAAAGACACCAAAAGGGACCCTAAT